GATTTCCTAAAATATTCACAGAAAATTATGATAATTTTTGATCAACTTACTATTTTCCGAAAGTATCGTATAGTCATGATTGGATTTATTGAACATTTAGAGATCTTCCGAATAACTATCATTCAGCCAAAAGAATTTCTAAAATACCGAGAGACCTTAGTGCAGGTCTATGATCTTCTGAAGGTATTTGGAAAAAAAAATTATCAACCTACTTCCTTGCGTGAATGTCTAAAAGGCATGATTTCATTTATTGAACAATAAGAGATCTCCAAAATAATTACCAATCGATCAGAAGAATTGCCATAGTGCAAATCTATGATTTCCTGAAGGTCTTTGGAATAATTCCCGATCAACCTACTCTTGCGAAAATATCTAAGAGACATAATTTGATTTATTGAACAATTAGAGGTCTTCAGAATAACAAGTGACTAACCAGAAATATACAGACACAAACAAACATCCAGAGCAGATCTATGATCTTCTGATCTTCTTTGAAATAATTTCGCATCATCCTTTTTCTAGCAAGAATATTTAAGAGACATGGATTGATTTATTTAACAATTAGAGTTTTTCAAAATAATTAATAATCAATCATAAAAATTGCCAAAATATTAAGAAAACATAATGCTGGTCTACGGTCTTCTGAAGGTATTTGAAATAATTTCTGATGAACCTTCCTTTTTGCGAGAATGTCTAAGAGGCATGATTTGATTTATTGAACGATAAGAGATTTCAGAAAAATTATCAATCAACTAGAATAATTTTCAAAATATCCAGAGACCATAGTGCAGACCAATGAATTTCTGAAGGTCTTTGGAAAAAAAATCCTGATCAACCTTTTCTTGCGGGAATTTCTTACAGTCATGGTGTGATTTATTGAGAAATTAGAGGTTTTCATAATAATTAATAACGAACCAGGAATATCCATAGACCTTAGTGCAGATGGATGCAGATCAGGAAGTTCTTTGGAATAATTTTGATCAATCTACTTTCATGCTAGTATATCTAAGAGTCATGATTTCATTTATTGGACAATAAGAGATCTCGAGAATATTTACCTAAACATCCAGGTCCATGATTTTCTGAAGGTCTTTGAAACAATTCCTGATCAATTTATTCCAGATATAAGGAGGAATCATCAATCCATCAACCAGGAGAATTTACAAAATATTTAGAGACCATAGAGCAGGTGTATGATCTTCTGAAGGTCTTTAGATACATTTCCTTCCTTTAGATACAGATGAACCTACTCTTGCGAGAATTTCCAAGAGACATGACTGGATTTATTGAAAAATTAGAGGTGTTCATAATCATAAGTTACTAACCAGAAATAACCAGAGACCTAGTACATGTCTATGATCTTCTGATGTTCATTGTAATAATAATTGCAGATCAACCTACTTTCTTGCGAGACTAAGGATTGTTCAAGTTATAGAACGGACACACACTACCAGTCCCAACTTTTTTTTTATTTGACTACTTAGTTTAATGCTTTCATCGGCATGTTTTAAACTATTCTTATAAGCAACATAGCAACAATAATACACGATATTTTTGAAGCAGAACATTTGAAACACATACAATAATTTTTGTTCTGATTATTAACTTTGTCAACATACCTTTTATCGCATTTTGTTCTAATTAAAAGATCTGACAAATGTAATGGTTATGATTTTGTACCTGAAAACTTCTACGTAAGTGTATAAAGTGGATCCCATTGTAGAGGAAGATTTAAGCAATTTAATGCAAAAAACCCCAAATGTTTGCGTTTTTTCAAATGCTCACAAAAAAATTCCGAAAATCGTCGAGTTCTTGACGTGTTACTTGTATATCCCCCCCCTCCCTTCATAAAGCTATACAGAGCCAAAATCCAACAATTTATCAAATAATAATAACACTGTTTCCACGAAAAGTCGTAGGGGGATTGTGATGAGTTCTTCGGATGTTTTCTGGGAGAAGCCTCTTTCATAAACAAAACTTATCTTAACTGTCTGGGAGGTAATTTACCGTGTTTTTGTTCAACCTCCTACTATTTGACAGACTCTTTGGCCAGTCTACGATTCCAAACTTATATAAGCAATACGCATCATTCGAATGTTTGAATACCGGTGGCTGGTGGTTATTGACATCGGTTACACTTTCTTTTCACATTATCCTCGGTCTCCGTGGTTGTCCCGTCCATTTCTACTATTTATTCGTTAATTACTTACACCACCTCTTCCGTTTTCTTGCCGTTCATGTCCAACAAAGCACCATCTGCAACCACACCAGCGTGCATATTGTGTACTTCGTCTTGTTTTTGTGTTGATTTACTTGGCTGCTTCCGTACTTCTCGTTTGGAGGAGTTGCACAAAAAATGCGTGTTCCCGATCCCGTCATAGAGATTGAGGAAATGATGCGTGGATGATATCTCCTACTCCACGTCCATGTATTCACCTGTGTGCATGTCGAGGTTCAGCTCCGCAGTAAACTTCTCCCGGATGACAAGCTTAACCTTTCCAAATCTCTACAGCACCAATGCTAGATCGCGATCCGGGACCTTCGGTGGGAGATCGTACACTGCATTCATTGAACGTTTTCCCCCAACAGTTGCCATGCGTTCTTGCACTGCCTTTTCATCAGAATAATGAAAAGATAATTACTCGAGGTTATGCTGCCATTGATTCTTACGATTTGAACTTGATGGAAATCGCTTTTTCCGCCGTAATTTGATATGATGCTTCCATCTCAATGTGACTCGCATATGGAGCGCCAAATCCTCACTTCTATCATTTTGATTTGTGTTTTGATATTGAATTTCGTCTTTTTGAAATATACTGGGGTGCACATAAAACAATGTGTGTGACGAAATAGTGCCATGTTTTAAAAGTTTACCTGTAACTGGATGGATGGACTATAATTATTTTCACACCATTTGACCTACATCAAGGATTCTTTTGGTATAAATATTTTAGTAGTTTATCATTACTAAACTATTGAAAATTGATCAAGCTTTTGTCCGTAATCAATCAATCACTTGCTTTACTGCTATGACTATCGAGAGAACCTAGAGAGGCGAGCCGATAGCTAGGTTATTAAAGAGCGTACCTATACGTTTCAGCTTGTCTGTAGATGTAGAAACCAATGAAATTATCTCAAAATTAAGTAGGATTTCACTCAAAATCGTTGAATGTGGGGTTACTAACTAAGCTAGCATAATTTTCCTAGATTTTGTTCAAAAACCTGCTTAGGGAGTATCCTCTAAGTACGGCACGCTCTCACCGGTGGGAGGAATTACAAATGTGTGATAAGCAATGCATTAGGTTTAGGAAAAACGTGACGAAAAGGGGAGGGTAATGATATCCATAAATTTCGCGTGATGTTCTTAATTTAATATGAGGAACATCTAGGAAAATGTTACGTCTTTTATGTCTATGAGTATACTCTTAGACCCAGTGAAAGGTTGCAACCGAGCGGACAACAGATTTTTCTTAATAATTTATATTCAGCTGGATTTGCTGGCCAGCTCCTTCGCCAGCTTTCATTCTACCAGCGGCCTGAGATTGAGTTTTTTGTTTCATATTTCGTCATATTTGAGCAATTTTTTTGAGAAAAATCGAGGAACATTTTACTTACTTAATGAGTAACTCCACTTTCTACGATTGTTCGTGAGATGACGTGATCTTCATCAATGTTGTTCAGATGGATTGGATAATAAACACTTCAGTTCGTAATTCGCCCTCCAGGTGGCACTAATATGAAATTTTAAAATTTCAACTGATTTTATTTGAAGATTTCTCGACTTCTTTCTCATAGAACCTTAAAATTCATCGTATGGCAGTATTTTTTCGCAACCATATCAACTAGCTAGCTGAGATATAATGGGTGCACATGATGTCTGCTATTGGCATTTTACTCCTATTTCCCCTTCAGAATTTGACCGTCGTCACTCAGCAGCCCAAGTAACCACTAAGCCCTCTAGTCGTATATGGGCTTTATATTTCAAAACCTCAATGGTTACTTGGGGTATCATTTGGAATACCTTGACCTTGATGCAACATTTGGATGATATAGGACTAAAATTTCGATTCACTTTATGGTTTAAATAGAGATCTTCCGTTACATTGGTATTCTACATCCATCTCCTCTACTGTTTTTTTGCAACTATGTTTCGAATAGAAGACTCAACGTATAGAATTTTCTTTTTACGCACTAATGAATCATCGCCCACATAAAAAGCAGCAAAAAAGCAGCTCCCTAAAAACTCTTTAAGCACCCAATATGCTGCAGAGCTGCAATAACGAATGGCTTCTACCATCACTGCGGCGTACAGATATGTCGCGCAAATGTTGCCCAAAACACAAATTTCCTGCATTGGACGTCCACATGCGGTTCTTCTCACACCAAACCGTTCAATTCATTGTTGCACTCATGTGACGACTCTTTCCAAGTCTCACCTCCCGCCATCTGATGACCATCCATCCAACCCGAAGCGATCCCTTTGTCTTTCAGCGAGTAGGAGTGAGTTTTCACGTATTCCGTTGTTTCATTCCCTGTTTTAGAAAAAGAGAAGAGATTAATTCCTCCTCTGAATGCGTAATGCATTTCCCCCGACAATGCAGACCAACTGATAGGCAAACTGATGCTGCTCGATACATAATGTATGAACATTTTACGCACATAAATCATACCATCTGATAGATGAAATGGTCATTAGATCGAATCTTCCCACTGTTTAGAATGGTTTGGATGGCTGTCGGAACAACCATTAGCACGTGTTACATGACTCAATCACAGATCGGAAACATTCGCAGCTTGGTGGTGGTTTTGCAGGCAGTAAACCGAGTAGGGCATTAATTATTGAAAACGGGATGTGTTTCTCTGGCAAACATGCAACCCCTTGGTATGGTTACTTTTGATTGAAATGTTAACAAAAACCGCAACGTGATACGGTCGTAAAATTTTAATGATCCGCAATGGCAGACTGCTTCGCGTTTGTGTGATTTGCGATTGGTACGTACCTCCGGTGACTACCGCTTTATTATCAGAATCTCGCATCGATAGACTGGAAGAAGCTTGCGATAGTCCACTGGATTCCGTACTGGTTTGCAGCAGAATGCCGGATGTGGAAGGGATGGCAATTTGATTCTGATTTTGAGACAACCGAAGCCGTCGTCGAAGCTTAGGCATATCGAAAGGAAGATCACCAACGTCTACCGAGGTTACGCTCCCGGAAGTGCACGGTTCCTATGGAAAAATGCGGTTAATATCTAATTCTAGTAGAAAATTGACATGTGTACCTGTTGCATGTGAGCTCGTCGTCGCCTTAGCTTTGGCATATCAAATGGAAGATCGCTAAAATCCTGGGGAAGTGCTGATTTACCATGATCCGATTTCTCCAATCCGAGCGTTGCTCGTTGAATACCCAAATTTAGGAAATTCGTTCGTGATTTGACATCCTCTCGTGAATGAAGTGATATTCCACTGTCGGATCCTTGTATTTCCGGACCTGATACAGTTGAACGTTCAAAATTTAGATTATGCTTCTTGATACTCAAATACTTACCAGTAATTAACAGAAGAGCCTTATTCGGAGCCGATCGCCTCGCTTTAGGTACAGCCAATTTCACAGCCCCATTCTCATCATTATCCCTTTTTGATATTGCTCCAGTAGTTGCCGTTTCGTCCGGAGACTGCTTCTGAGAGTTATTCCTATTTATATCTGATGTCTCCGAGCCCGGTTCTTGAGAAGACTTATCCGAAATGGGACTAAGAATGTTCAGCTTGTTATGGATAACCACGGGAGCTCGCAATGGAAAGGCAATTGTGTGCCCCGAATCGGAGCTATGTGAACTAAGCGAAGACGAATGCCGTGAATCTGAGCTGGATGTGCTTCGGTTTCCCTCACTCGTACTGGATTTAAGCGATTCCATGCTGCCACCACTGCTTGAGGTAGCCATGCTTTCGGTCGAGGAAAAGTTCCTTCCCCGTTGCTTATGACTTCGATGACTGCGCTTCAGCTCGAGAACTCGCTCTGGCTCGAGGCACATCGTTGACCGAGGCCTATCACTGTTCTTAGGACTATTGTAAGAGGAATTGTTAATACTACCATCACAACTGCCGGAAGGAGGAACTTCACTGTTACGTATCGCCTGGATATCCAGCCGGAGGTCTTTCAACCGCGGATGTTGCGCCGCATTGGAAGAAGGAAGATTGGGAGCACTTTTTATGCTGTTGATGAAGAAGCGTTCATGTTTGCCGGGAAACTTCATGGGAAGGGGAGCGGTTGATGGCGGAGAAGGCGTGTATCCACGCAGTGGAAGTTGGGAGGAAGACGTAGAATTTGCATTGGTAATATTGTCAAATTGTTTGTCGATCTGTAGTTTTTCCAGATCTTGGGAGAGATTTACTTCCGGAGCATTTTCAATTTCCACCGTTGTTTGAATTTGTGTTGATGAAGGCGGTTTCAGAGAACCCTTCGACCTCTTTGTCTCTCCGCGTTTGCTTCGGTCTCGGTTCTCTTTATTCTGGCAAGATACCATATTGCTACTGCTGCTGTTGTTACTCTTGCTCAGCTGTAGCAGTACTGATTGATTGGTTACACGATCAACCTCGTCCAAATCGTCGTCCGATCGGGTAATCTTCGAATCAAATGCCGTCTCGTAGATTTGCCTTGTTCTTATGCTCGTCATATCTTCATTAACAGTGGCAGAATTGTCACTCAGTGTACAATCGGCACAGTCCTGAGCGCCTGGTTGATGCACGTAGAATATGCTACGGGGTCGGAAGAGCTCATCGTTGTCCTCGCCGAATGCGGGTGTGGCACAGGCACAAACTGATGCTGGACCGAGCATTCGATGTGGTGGCATTGAGGGGTCTACCGACGGTGGGAGGTTACAATTTGAACGCACTATAGCCAATGCTTGCGCATGCCAATCTCTTCTTTTTAGACATTCAGAACAATCCGAATCGTCCGAGGTGGTGGTAGACGGTGAGTCACAGCGGATAATTCGAACTCCCTCCTCAGTAATCGAATAACGTTTCGGAAGGCAGACCTCCTTCTCTGCTGCCGGAGTATCTAAGCTACTGCTCTTCCTATATCTGGGACCGGGTTCACGTTGACGGGCACTTGCTGAAGATGCTCTGCTACTGGCTCTTTTGGCTCCAGTAGATTCTGATTGAATAAATCCAGATCCCGCTTGTTGTTCCTGTTGGGATTTGTTTTTCAACAAATCTGAATAATAGTAGGGAGACGGATTTCGTTTCGATGTGTCTGGAACGGTGGTCTTGATAGGACTCTGGCGTAGCAGTAGGGGCTGTACTAGATCTTCGGATATACTATCCGGTGAGTTGAGTTCAGGAACTTTATTTAATTCGTCTTCTTCATCGTCGTTATACTCCTCCTCGGATGTTATAGGTGCAGAAGATCCTGAAACTATTTGGCAATCTAAACTCAATATTCATCAGAGCAAAACCTTACCATACGTACCAGAACTGAAATTTTCATTGATGTACTTGACCTCACAGTTACTGCTTGGTCTCCTCGGTTGCCGTTGCTTCGACCGACCGGTGCTGCGTTTGTAACTCCGCCTGGTGTCGAAAATCTCCTCGACCGTTTTAATAGCTATTGCATTTGCGGCGATCTCACTGGCCCCCGTCGAAATGGATGTCGGAAGAAGAGGGGGTGGCAATTGTGGTTGCTGTTGCTGATGTTGGTGCTGGAGGGAGTGCTGTAGTGTACCCGTTCCCAATCCACTTACGCCAGTACCGATACCGACCGTTACCGCTCCCAAACTGTTGGTCGGAGCTGCTGACAAGGGTTGCTGTAAGTTTAACGGTTCTAGAAACGAAACCTGAAAGTGAAACGAATGTGGAGAAGAAAATTTGATCTAATTATTGCTAATTTTGCCATTTCATTTGGATTACGAGAATTTGTTTTGCTATGAGCAATGCGATGCCTGTTGCCTTTTTAAATCCTTCTATAGAGCTTTCAATTGCTATTGGTTTCTCCATTCTGGACAAGGGAAAGCAATTTGTATTGAAATGGGACTTCACAAATGAAAAGGCAATTATTCGTGAGTGCTGAGGAGATGGAATTCCAGTACCTACAATGAATGTGATGCTCCCCCATCAAATGTACATATTCGGCTTTTGTTGGTGCGTACTTTAATTGGCTGCCTATTAGTATGTGAATATGGCTTCAAGTGTTGTTTAATGACTCCAGGTAGTTCTGGATGGTTTCTTGAGGGTGGGATGCTGGATAAAATTCAATTAGGCGTGTTTGGCACATAGTAAAATCGATGCATTTAATTTGCAGGGCTTGTGGAATTTATCGGTATATATGTACAAACCTACTCCTATCATGATGCAGGATAGGAATTTGGATCAAGAGCACTACGGAGTGCCACGAGAAGGAAGTGAGGATTTCAGGCTATAAATCTAACTTCATTGGAATGCAAACACGATATACTGTATTAGTTACTGGGTAGTGACTTCAATAGAAAAATAGATACAGATTTGAAATTATTATATGTATTGAATTCATTAAATAGTGCACCTAAAAGCGACATTTAATATAGTCATTCAAATTCACGAAGCATTAAAAAATAAAACAAACACTCATATGTGGTGGTAAATCTTATCGGATCGGTAGAGATGAACTAGCCTAAGGCTAAAAATCTCTTTAATAAAGCTTTAAAAAATAAAATTATCGGATCGGAAGCTAATTGTGAAGATTGGAAATTAATCATCTGAGCCGTTCACCAATTTTAGCAGGCGTACCTTTGTGTGCGTTGTTGTTGTTCTTGTTCTTGCTGTTAACGTAGTTGTTGTTGGTGCTCCTACTGAGAGTATTGCTACTGCTGTTGCAAGCGGAGCAGCGTTGCTTTGGGTGAGATTTGCGCTCACAATTGCGACATGTTTTCACTTGGTTTGGGTATGATACCAGTGTAATTTCGCCATCCACGGTGATGAATGACGGGATGGGAAGAATAAGTCTCATTTTCAAAACACGCACTCCATTGCTGAAGCCTGGAAAATAACTCTTCCAAACCTCACCGCGAATTGCTATCACCTCTCCATACTGGCGCATATGGTCGATGATAGCCACATTCTCCATGTCATCTGGGAGATCATGCAAACGTACGTCGTCAGCGCTGCTTTCGACATAAATTGGAATAAAGATCTTTTTTCCCTCATACTCCATAAAATGCTTCAGGTGATGGGCTGAAGTGATTCTTCTAGCTACTTCGTTACTTTGCATACCCAGGTATACAACGTTTTTCACATTGTGTGGCTGGATGCATTTCACTTGTGACATATCAAGTTGCAGTTCACTTTCTAAAAATCGTTTGATTTCCGAAATACACGGTCGCTTAGGCAGAATGGATGTATCCAAAACGACACAGTTTTCTCGCAAAGCTATGGGCAACAAAACTCACGCGCGTCACACAAAAGAACTTCGAGAATGGTATTATACGTCTGATCGGTTAAGGAGATGGATAGCAACTCATATTGTTTATATTAAAACACATTAAATTTGCAACAAAAAAGCTCATAATGCTTAAAATGCCAAAGTTTTTATTTGCGAGATACTCGTAGGTTAAAATTCACTTATCGCAAATTTTAAGAAATTTTCGCCCTTTTGAGATGTTAACTCAAATTGCATATCTTTTTAAAATATTTTTGTATATTTATTTTGTAGCTTAGGTAAAAAAATACCTATTTACACTGTGTATTTGCAAGGCAAATCATAATTAAAAAAGTTATGAATTATTGAAAAAATAAGTATTTTCCAAAATACTACCGATAGTTATCGAATATCTTTGAAATAGTGTTAATATTAAAACACATTAAATTTACAACAAAAAATCCCATCATGCTTAAATTGCCAAAGTTTTTATTTGCGAGATACTCGTAGGTTAAAATTCACTTATCGCATATTTTAAGAAATTTTCGCTCTTTTGAGATGTTATTCGTGAGTGTTAAATTTTGAAAGTATTTTTAACAAAAAACCCAATTAATTTCCTTAAACTTTGCTATTCACAGTTTTTTAATCATACGCATGAGTTGTAAATCTTTAAGCCACGCCTCTCCCCATTGAAAAGTGCTACTCCCGTTATAACACCGTGCACTACTCGATTGTGCTATACGCAAGTAGCACCTTAGCTGGTCCTATTACTCTCTCCTAAATATGAAATCTCTCACTCCTTAGTTTCTTTCTCCTTCCAAATATAAGAGACGCGCTCCCTTATTTTAGAGTAAAGGGTTATACGGTCAAAATTTGGTCAATATCAACTTGACGTATTTCTTTCAATTTTGCATTTAAAAAACCTGAACACCCCTCATTTTGAAGGTGTGTGTGTGTAGAATGTTGCTCCTATTTTGATTTTGGAATTCACTCTTCAGTTGTCAAAATGCCGTCCAAGCAAGAAGAGCAGCGTATCAAAATTTTGCTCGCGCATCGCGAAAATCCGAGCTACTCGCACGCAAAGTTGGCAAAATCGCTAAAAGTTGCCAAATCAACCGTTACAAATGTAATTAAAGTGTTTGGGGAACGTTTGTCGACAGCCAGGAAGTCTGGATCGAGGGGAAATCGAAAACCGGAAGCCGCTGAGACGACAAAGAGTGTTGCCGGTAGTTTCAAGCGAAACCCTAACCTCTCTCTCCGAGATGCCGCAAATAAGCTGGGTGTATCGTCTACAACCGTGCATCGAGCCAAAAAACGAGCCGGACTATCGACTTACAAGAAGGTAGTGACTCCAAATCGCGATGATAAACAAAATACGACGGCCAAAGCGCGATCCCGGAGGCTGTACACGACGATGCTGACGAAGTTTGACTGCGTGGTAATGGACGACGAAACCTACGTCAAAGCCGACTACAAGCAGCTTCCGGGACAGGAGTTTTATACGGCAAAAGGAAGGGGAAAGGTAGCAGATGTTTTCAAGCACATGAAACTGTCAAAGTTCGCAAAGAAATATCTGGTTTGGCAAGCCATCTGTACCTGTGGCTTGAAAAGCAGCATTTTCATAGCTTCCGGGACTGTCAACCAAGAAATTTACGTGAAAGAGTGTTTGAATAAACGTCTGCTGCCTTTCCTGAAGAAACACGGTTGTTATTACGGTAAAAAGGCCATGGAGTGGTACGCCGCCAACAACGTGCAGGTGGTTCCCAAGGACAAGAACCCTCCCAACACGCCAGAGCTCCGCCCAATTGAGAAATACTGGGCTATTGTCAAGCGGAACCTAAAGAAGACCAAAAAAACTGCTAAGGGCGAGCAGCAGTTCAAGGCAAACTGGCTTTCTGCGGCGAAGAAGGTGGACAAGGTGGCTGTACAAAATCTGATGGCAGGGGTCAAGCGTTAGGCCCGGCAATTCGGATTTGGAAAAGCGGAAGCCTAACTGAATATTTTTCCTGAATTTTATACTAATTGAACTTGAAAAAGAAATTTAATTTGATTTTTTAAATAAACGATTTCACCGATTTACACGCGTTTTCCCTTGACCAAATTTTGACCGTATCACCCTTTAGCACCAGTGTTTTTTGCACCACTCTGAGTTTTTAGTCGATCCCTGCCACACTGTCTTCGTTCGCTATACTGCGCTCTGGTGTGATCGATCCTTGAATCCAATGCTGTAGTTTGGTGCCCGTGCCATTCAACGTGAATTGTTAGGATCGAAGCAATCCAAAGAAAGTTCGTGATGAATGCCCTTCGTGACCTTCCGTGGCGAGATCCACATAACGAAGACCGTTGTAGACTGCTGAGTATTGAAACTCTGGAGAAAAGAAAAATAACTGCTCAAGCAGTTTTTGTGGCAAAGATCCTGAATGTTTACGCACCGGAACGAATCCTTCGCCACCGTGATTTTTTAATACTCGAGTTTGTAAGGTCAGCATGATCCCATCCGCTTCATGTCAGCCAGATTCAACCAGATGTTCTTGCTGTTCGACTTCAACGCTTCTGCTGCTACATTTAAGCGTAAACTTTCTGAAAGGTGCAATGACATCAATTGAAGTACGATGAAACGCCTTAATGATTCAATGAAATTGGTGAGTAACTGTCCAATTTCTATAACATGTATATATTGTGCTATCTGTTCTTTTTTTTCCTGTGACTTCATCTTTTTGACGAGGACTTGCTCTGGCACCTGACGACCGCATGCCCAAGGACGATATTTTTTATACTATGAACCACGATTTTAAATTAGGGTAGAGAACTATTTCGGCCTAATCGCCCATTTTGGGCCTATCGAGCAGAAAACTTCAAATAAATCCATGGTTTCAGAGTTAACAAGTCAATTATGCGTTTGGTACGATACTTTAGTTAATAAGCTACCGAACGAAGTCAATGAGAACGCCCGACCGAATCAATTTTTATCTTCATTCGATAGGCCGAAGTGAATTCATTGGCGTCTCAATGGCGTTTCAATGCGTTAGGCCGAGTTTAAAATCCATAGGCCGAGTTTGGCGTCAAGAAGCAGTGTTGGACTTTTGACAATATCTCAACGATTGGTTTCTCGTTTTCAAATCTTACGGTACGTACGGAAAGGTAAATAAATTTGGTAGCCATGAGTAATAATAACATTCCGTTTGGTGCTAAACTGAACTAGATTAAGAAAGGCTAAGTGCGGTTTATGCTTAATAGGCCGTAAATGGGGTAGTTAACCCTATTATGTTGTGATTCTATTTTCGTTTATTTTTTGTATGATTCGCTTTTTAATTATTATATATGTTGTGTGAAAAGACATGTTTCGATGGGGAAAAGCCTGAATAAACCAGCTACAGCAGGCGCAAAACTGCTGTAGCTGGTTTATTCAGGCTTTTCCCCATCGAAACTTCATTAAGATTGTTA